GGGGGGGGGGCTGAGAGTTGCCCCCCCTCCCCGCCCCCCTTGCTCCCCTGTCCCTGCGGGGGCAGGAGGGCGCCCCTCAGCACTGGTCGTGAGGCCGCTGCTCTGCAGCCTGGCGGGGGGTGGGCAGGGGCCAGCCCCATGGCCTTACGCCTAGGGCTTGGAAATTCTCCATGGGACACTCAACAGCGCCCTGGGACACTGGGAACTGCGCCAACCTGCCCCGTGTTGCCCTCCTGCGGTTTATGCAGGTGGCTCTGTCCCCTGGAAGCGGGGCAGGGGGCACTCCTCGCTCATCCCACGAGCAGGTGGGTTGCAGATGCCATCTCTTCCTTGTGGTCGTAGCTGTGGGTCCGGGAGGGAGGTGTTGTCCTGCCCCCTGAGGTGCCGCCATCCAGCAGTAGTGGGGAGATGCCTTTGGCTTGGGGAGACAAGTGGTCCTCAACCTTTTGTAACCCACTTGGAAGCACTGATGGCCAGTCTCAACCCAGTGCCCCTCACTCCCAGCCCCCTGCTCCCAGCCCCACAGTGTGTGGGGAAGGGGGGGATGTGGGGCAGGGAGGGTCCCAAGCAGCCCCTTGGAGACTGGAGCTCTGCCAGCCTGCAAGGGAAAAGCCACTGTTTTCCATATTTTTCTCCTTTTGAAAGAGAATCCATTTGTAAAGTTTGTTGATCCATTTTTAAAGGTTGTTCATGACTTTCGTATATTCTTGCAACCTATGTGTTGGGAAACGCTAGACTGTGTAGTGTAGACCGTGATCCTGCATGTAGTGGATGCGAAGGGGAAAGAAGTGGCATCCTCGCTCTTTGGTGCTTTGTTCATGTTGGTGTGGCAGGTGTTTGCAAATGCAAACTTGCTTCCCAGTGCTTTGGGTCTGCCTGGTGTTTTCAGGGTTGGAGTATCAAGGAAAGTCTGCTTGGCCCTTCAAGTTCGTGAAGGGCATCTTGGGGGAAAATGATCTGTGGAGGGGGAGATGGGGAGGTGTTTTGAAGGCTGGTTAGTTGTCAGTTTGCTGCTAGGTAAGGAAAACACTAATTTCAGGGATTCAGCTCCTAATTTTAGCAAAACAGGAAATAGTAAATGATAGTGTGGTAATAGGCGGAAGGTACTGTAATGTTTGGTCTAAAAATATATGGACTTGGAATTGACAGGGGGAAATGACATCTTCTAAGATATCAGCTGAACTGTTGTGGAAGTAAAACCATCACACTAAAACTTCAGTCTTGGAAACTTGACCTTTTGGGAACTGTTAAAAACCCTGAAATCCTTGAATTGGTGAAACAGAGCTTTTCGTAAGCTTGGTTAAAGACCTGGTGAACTAGCTCCTTAGATATTTGTGATGCAGAGCAGAAAGCATTCAATATGGACAAAAAGACAGTAAAGGAATAAATCTATCCCTTTTTATTTAGTACATTCAGAGTAATCCTAGACCAGGGGTGGGCCACATGCAGCCTGCCAGGCCATTCTGTCTGGCCTGTGGGGCCCCTAAAAATTTTAGAAAATTAATATTTATCTGCCCTGGGCTGCCTGTCATGAGTCCCTCAATGGCTTGCTGAATCTCAGGAAGTGGCCCTCTGCCCCAAATAATTGCCCACCCCTGTCCTAGACAGTCCCCTGAAGTTATATTTGAGATCAGAATTTGATCCTTAGTTGTAATCACTGTACCTTTCTAATGCGATCCTTTACTCCTAGTAGCATCATTTTTGGGAAGTGCAGCCTGGGAGTATGTTAAAAGCTGAAGTGAAAGCCCTGTAAAAGGTGGGGTGGTTCTGTGATTTAAGCGTTTTGAGCTCA